GCGATAAATCATAGCAAATTATAATATGATATATTTATCGACAGGTATCGCGATAAAAGAGATTTCTGCGATGAAAAAGTTCTTTATCGCGATGAATTTTTCCTTTAGATAAATACTAGAAAAATCGATGACGGATGGATAAAAATATCATTTATCGCGATAAATTTATCGAAAATACCCTCATGGGTCACGATCTAATCCGTATTAATTGAAAAAGTTTTAGATAAATCTTATCTGCTTTCGAACCAGATTATAGAACTTTGAATACCTAATTCAGTTCCCAACTTAGCAAGTGTGTCGAATTGTAATAGTGTTGAAGAATGCTTGAATTATGATAGATTGACCTCATATTTTCTCACATGTATAGAGAATATTTTGGACTATCTGTTGATGCTGGCAGAAGTTGCGAATACTGGAAAATATACATTAGGGATTTTAGAGTCCTCACTGATCTTCTCGAGCGAGACTTTCTTAGACAGTTTAATATGAAAATCCGTCATTAGCCATCAATGAAAGTAATTGTAGTCATTTTACGCTCACTTACACTTTCTTGAGCCGATTGAGCGCGCTAAGCTTCTGTTTTTATACTCAGACCAAGCAATTGGATATAGAAATATCAAGGAATGCTATTGCTATGAAGACGAACGCTTTAATAACCTTTTGAAATCGAGAACAACGAGTTCTAAGGAGCTTAAGCAGAAGCCAGCATTCTCTGCCTCAAGGAACTTTGCTAGGAGTATTATCTGTACATCCGATACTTGAATGTTTTGTTTATTCCACACAATATTTCCAGTATTTACTTTGCGACTAATTATTTCTTTATTATTTATGAGCTTCTACAAGGCCGTGTGGCCTTTATTCGTATGTTCGCCTTTATGCATCTGTTTCATACAGTACAAATAGATTCGTATCGATCATTTGTTAAATAGTACCATTCATATTTTTACATTGAAAGTTGGCTTCATTGATATATACATATACACTTTTGTATAGGCAATGCAACGTGGAATTATGAAGAGTTAGGTCCGGATATATGGTATTTAACGTATCCGAATTGTGCTGGATTCGAGCAAAGTCCTATAGATATTATAACATCATGTACAGAATATCATCAGTTTCAACCATTTACTTTTTCATCACATTATTCAGCGAGAAATAATTTTACATTAATGAATAATGGACATACTATTACTGCAAAATTACAAGATCAAACCCAAAATAATTTATTAACATTGAGTGGTGGAAATTTATCTGGTTCATTTCTATTTCAAAGTTTCCATTTACATTGGGGTGAAAATGCCAAACAAGGTACATATAAAGTATTATTTTAGGGTGGATTCCCATGTCGTTGACTTATTAATTGTTTTCTTGGCTCATCGCCAAGATTTTTAGAGGGAGATAAATGATGTTTGTGAGCCACCGACGTTATAAAATGTCGATGAATCAGCAAAATCAATTATCGCATCGACGAATCGGGATTGAACCTTATTTTAGAAGTCTCCAAACTAATGTCTATCTTAGTTGATAAAATATTTAGACTATAGTATGCCTCTATAATAGAAGACCACTGGTCTTCTGTTATGTCCGTCAAAAAGATCGGAAAATGTTCTATACAGGGCAATTTTTTTAAAAAAAATTCTTCGAAATGTTCTTCTAATAGGGAGTAGACTTGAGTATGTGAGGGGTTACTGTTGGACTGCTAGAGGCGACCAAATCTGATCGCAATGGAAGACCAGATGGTCTTCTATTATGGGGAGGGATGGGTTATTGTAGTTTCTGTTTTAGATCTACATGCAATTGTTTTCTATTGTGTTTTGAATCGATATACGATTATAAAGATAGAAGTACCATTTCTTTTTTTAAATCGCACACTGAACTGGAACAAAACCCACTGTTGGAATTTTCGTTTAAAACAGGCTTCATCAGAACCTGCACACGAGATCTTTATGTGACAAATAACGAAAATGTTAGAGTTTTGACAAAAAATCACAGTTAATCTCGAAAGGGAAAGTCGCTGTGTGCGCAAAGGATGAAGTCGTCTGTCAAAGCTTATCTTTTCAATAAAAGCCTGCTGGTTTTATATCGTTTTCGCCAGTTTTCACGTAATTCGAGATGTTTGATCGATCTGGTCGCTACCAATTGTACTTTTTTAAAGGGCTGCACGCCCACTATTGGTGCTAAATATCTTGTTCGTAGCGTAATTATTTTGTCTTTTCATTTTGAAAATTACATTTTGTTTGTTCAATACTCAAATTGAGGGACCATATAGAATTGAAGAGAACTGTTAGCAATCTTTTCGTTTGCACCTGCGTTTATTGTATTTTTAATAACTAATACATAAGCAAAAATGTCGGTACTATTTTAAGGTGCTAAAACGAAGTATAGATCTCTGTCTTGCTTCAAAAGGTGCCTAGGTAGAAAACGGTAAGTTTGAAGCAATTCTCGCTCTCAAGGATTTAAGATCATGTCAGAAAATCCTTAAAAAATTGTAACGGGTGATCCAAGATAAATTGCACTAAATTCTGATGCATTTTTCTCTCATTTTTCATCTATGAAAAATATGCCCTAATATACCAAACGATAGAGAATTTCAAGCTCTACAAAACTGATGACTTCGTTTTTGAAACAAATTTTTCTTATCGCCACCAAATTAAAATGATTCACGTCTAATCAATCATTCAACTGCGATTTC